TTTATATTGAGCATTATTTACTTCCTTGTGCTCTGTTGAAAAAAAAAAAAAAAGTGCCTCTGATATTCTACATAGCAGTGTCGTTTTAGCATATTCCCAAACTGAAACACAGAAACTACATTTCTACCTTCCTTTAATTGCAAGTTACAGGATTTCCAGACAAAAGAGGCCACATCAATATTGTAACATCAATCCATTGTGTTCTAGCGTCACACACTGAGTGATTTAATTAGATATGGGGAGGGGGTTAATTCAGCTCAGAATGCCTTAGTGTTGTCAGGTAAGAATTGCCTTGTTTATACAAAGGCTCTTGCCTTACTCATTTTCTGTGCATGCTGTTAAGTGGCATTGGGTCTATGTGTACATGCTTGGACGTGTATCTCTTGGGTATATACGAATTTCCATTTTTTTCCCTCTGTCCAATTTTATTTCCCTTACAGTTGGAATTATTTGTGTTTTAAAAACCTATAGTCCAGTAAATGAAGCAGAAACATTGCCTGATGGGCGCGGGTATATGCAGGGTTAATCTCGAAAGTGTGAATCGTTGAGAATTCAAAGTAAATTTCAAATGTTACGCCAAAATAGCTAAAACTGAAAACATTGCTTGCTTGCAGAATTTTTCACTTATTCAAATATTTTACATTTTCTACTACTACTAACATATTGCACAGAGTTTTACAGTAATATAAAATAGGATATTTGATGGTAAAGGAGGTCCTGCCCAAAGAGCTTACAATCTAGGAAGATACAGTTGTGCTCAAAAGTTTGCATACCCTGGGAGACATTGTGAAATTTTGAAAAAATGACTGATCATGCAAAAAAATGTTTTTTATTGAAGGATAGTATGAAGCCATGTATTATCACATAGTTGTCTGGCTCATTTTTAAATCATTATGATAACAGAAATCACCCAAATGTCCATGATCAAAAGTTTACATACTCTTGAATGTTTGACCTTGTTACAAACACACGACACACACAGGTTAAAGGTTAATTTCCCACACCTGTGGCTTTTAAAATTACAATTAGTAAGTACTGTGTATAAATAGTCAATGAGTTTGTTAGCTCTCACCTGGATGCACTGAGCAGGCTAGATAGTGAGCCACGTGGAGCAGAAAATAACTGTCAAAAGACCTGCATAACAAGGTAATGGAACTTTATAAAGATGGAAAATGATATAGAAAGATATCCAAAGCCTTGAAATGCCAGTCAATCCTGTTCAATAACTTATTAAGAAGTGGAAAATACAGGGATCTCTTGATACCAAGCCAACGTCAGGTAGACTGTATCCAGAATTGGTCATGATACAAAGAAAAATCCACAGGTTGTCAGGATTACAAGTTGATCCAGCACGCAGAACTGTGTCACACCTTGGACTAAGGATAAAGTATAACTGGACCTTAGATTGGCTGGACTTAATATATCCAAGATTGTGAAGCATGGTGGTGGCTTACTGATGTTTTTGGGGGGGAGGGGTGGAGCTCTAAAGGCATGGGGAATCTTGTGAAAATTGATGGCAAGATGAATGCAGCATGTTATTAGAAAATACTGGCAGACAATTCTTCTGCACAAAGGTTGCTCATGGGATGCTCTTGGACTTTACAGCATGACAATGACTCTAAGCACAAGGCCAAGTTGACCCTCCAGTGGTTACATCAGAAAAACGTGAAGGTTTTGGAGTGGCCATCACAGTCTCCTGACCTTAATATCATTGACCAACTCTGGGGAAATCTCAAAGGTGCTGTTCATGCAAGACGACCAAAGACTTTGCATGACCTGGAGGCATTTTGCCAAGACGAATGGGCAGCTATACCACCTGCAAGAATTAGGGACCTCATAGATGTTACGGCACCCCCAGGCATAAAAGGGTTAAACTGCCGTTTAGTAGATCTTCCCTTCCAGAGACACAGGCACAGCTACTGCAGAACACCAATCCGCCGAACAGGAAACCATATGAATGCCGTAAACAGCCGAATAGGAAAAACCATATGAATAGGTTTACACTCCTAGCAGTCGAACTGGAACAGCATACAATAAATCCTCCCAAGAACGAGACAAAGCTCCGTGTTGAGGGTCAAGCAATGAACAGTCAGAGCTGTGGGTTTATTGTGCTTATGTACACATTCTTACACATTAGTACCACCCACAGGGTTTTGGAACACAACCAATAAACACATACAATACACTCAGACACTCCCACACAAATTCCTCCCCTCTGCTTGTGATTCAATTACCTTACACAATGGGTAATGTAATTTAGCACAAGCAGAGAAATACAATTTTTCCACGTTATTCATAACTTGAAAAGTATGCATCACATTCACATACATCACATGCATCACACACACCTACATTTTCAGAATCAGCATACTCCAAATACAAACATACGTCAAAATCATACAAATTGGTCCAGTGGTTCAAAAGATAGATCATAGTCCTTTGTGACCACAGGAAGCATGGCTTTTCTGCCCAAAACCAGTTCCACAGAGTCTTCTATCCTGGAGATAATTGTGAAGTAATCCAATTATGGTAAAACTCCATTGAACACATGTCAGCAAAAAGACAGTAAAATACAATAAAATACACAAGGTTACATTTATGACATAAAATACAGACATGCAACATATCCCCAGATAGCTCAGATCTGAGTGCACATTATTACTGAATGGCGCTCAGAGCACACACATACAGTTCAATTGCCATGGAGCCAAAGTCTTTCCCATAGTCTTTCATTATACGAATGGGCTCCATGGCATAGCTATCTGGGGTATCACTGCTCAAACAGGGCAAGCACCAAATGACCCGGCTTTCTTGTCTTTGCAGGGGAAAATCAAGCCTTTTAACATGGGGCCATAATCCAAAGGCAACAGGCGAGCAACCAGGCTTCTCCAATGCAATGTGGCGAGATTGCTCTCGTCACAATAGGCAACTATTACAAAACACTGCATGCTGTCATTGGGGGTAAAGGGGACAATACACACTATTCAGAACTAAGAGTATGCAGACTTTTAAACAGGGGCCATTTATTTTTTTTCTTTGTTGCCATGTTTTGTTTTATGATTCTGCCATTCTGTTATAACCTACATTTGAATAGGAATCCCATGAGAAATAAAAGAAATGTGTTTTGCCTGCTCAATCATGTTTTCTTTAAAAATGGTACATTACCAATTCTCTAAGGGTATGCAAACTTTTGAGCACAACTGTATATCATTACTGGTAAAGGTTGATGTTACTACTGCTCTAACCAGCTGAACTAATGTGGTCTAAAATTCTGAAAATCAGTCTAAAATTCCTGGGAATTAACACTTCATTAAATATTTGAAATTTTAAAATGGCAAACAGTTATAAGCTTCTTAAAGAATATGACTGCTTATTCAAAAAAAATAAGTTTTTACTTATCTAAATTACAATTATTGCAATCTCTGCTTCTTTGATGATACTATGTTACCTAAAGTGTTGAGACACTTATATGACTTGAGACATATATTAATCACAAGAAAATATTAAAAAGATAAGGAATGGATCAAGATTACTATCACTCCCTCCAGCCCAGGGAAAAGAAGTTTGACTCAAATGTCCAGGGATTAGCTACCAGTCAAGGATAATCCAAGTCAAACTATGAGTTCCCATGTATGGATAAATATGTGGCATTTTACGCAAATGAATATTTTCCTTTCTGGCCAACGTGTATACACAGTCTATATTCTGTGTTGTTTTAAAAAGGCACTTGTCTTCACCTGGTAGAGTGATCTTTAAAAGATTTTGGGCCCTCCCAAAAAATCGGTTAATGGAACCAAGAAACATGGCAAGATAACAGTACGAGGGCCAGATTAAGAGCCCAGTGGGCCTGGTGCTGACAAGTATGAGGGGCCTAAGGACAGAATCTTCTCGACCAAAAATACTAAAACAGTCCTACCTCTCAAGCATTATGTATCTGGTGGAGATGTTGCTGGAGGGAAACTCATAGGATTCAGCTATAAGAAAACTAAATTTCTCTTAAAATATGGTAATCTTTATCTAATTCATGCTTTCATCTTTCAAGTAAATCCATACCCCCTAACAGCAGTGTCCAGTGAAGCAGGAAGTCAATGGGAGGTGTAAATGGGTGGGCCACTAACGCGCATCATGTAACTAGAGCTTCCGAAAGGGACAAACATGCCCAAAAAGGAGGCGTGTCTGCCCAAAGAATTGGAAGGCTAGCCTGGCACGAATGCATGTCAGATTGCCTGCCAATCATGCATGCTGGCCAACAGCATCCTGAGCTTGGCATAAATGCGTCTAATGATACGCTCACTCCATGCTTTTTAGGACTGTCACCTAGCACTCATATGTCCACTTGTCTCCTTACCTTCTTACTAGCAGGCAGAAGCTCCTGGTATACAGTCTGAGACAAAGAAAAGCTGTATGTAGTGAGTGTAGAAGAAAGGGAACATGCCACAGTGTTAGAGAGACCAAAGTCATCATTACCTTAACTAATTTCATTTTAGCTAGTCCACACAAGTTTTGTTTCTATATATCCCTCTTATGTTTCCATACTTAAGCAATAGTATGTGAAGAGTAGTTAGGGTTTCCACATTTCTTGGAAAAAAATACAGGCCTTACTAATTTGCATAACGAACTATGTATGCGTGACATCACATGATGTCACAAGGTTTGACATATGAGAAAATTCTGTAAAATCACCAAAAAACACTTACAGTTTGATTCTGCTGTATAGATGGATTGCTCCCAGTGTCTCCCTGTTTCCCAGTGTCCCCATGTCGCCCAGTGTCTCCTAGTCTCTGTGTCCCCATGTCTCCCAGTGTTCCCATTTCACTAGGGGACACTGTGAGACATGGAGACACAGAGACACTTGGGGACACTGGGAGACTTGAGGACCCTGAGACTAAGTATTACAGTGGCTCAGTGCCCCATGTCCCCCAGTGTCCCCATGTCTCTGTGTCCCCATGTTGCCCAGTGTCCCCTAGTATCTGGTTTCCCATGTCTCCCAGTATCCCCATGTCACTAGGGGACACTGAGAAACATGGGGACACTGAGAGACATGGGGACACTGGGAGACTTGAGGACACTGAGACTATGTATAACAGTGACTCAGTGCCCCATGTCTCCCAGTGTCCCCATGTCTCTGTGTCCCCATGTTGCCCAGTGTCCCCTAGTATCTGGTTCCCCATGTCTCCCAGTATCCCCATGTCACTAGGGTACACTGAGAAACATGGGGACACTGAGAGACATGGGGACATTGGGACACAGACACTGGGAGACATGAGGACACTGGGAGACATGGGCACACTGGGAGACATGGGGACACTGAGACACCAGGGACACTGGCTGGGAGACATGGAGACACTGAGACACTTGGGGACATTGTGTCCCCAGTGTCTATGTCCCCATGTCTCAGTGTCCCCATATGTGTCTGTTTCCCCATGTCTCAGTATCCCCATGTGTGTCTGTGTCCCCAAGTCTCCCAGCATCCCCTAGTGTCTGTGTCCCCATGTCTCAGTGTTCCCATATGTGTCTCTTTCCCCAGGTCTCAGTGTCCCCTAGTGTCTCAGTGTCCCCATGTGTCTCAGTGTCCCTTTGTGTGTCTGTGTCCCCGTGTCTCCAAGTGTCCCCAAGTGTCTCAGCATCCCCAGAGGTCTCCCTGTGTCCCCATGTCTCATAGTGTCCCCTAGTGCCTCAGTGTCCCCATGTCTCCCTGCAGCCTTTACCCCATCCCTCACTTCCCTGAGCTGTAGGCTGTCTCTGCAGGCTGGGAACTGCTGTCTGGACTTTGTGCTGTGTAGCTGCTCCCCCGTCGATCAGTGAGTAGAGAGAGGGAGGTAAATGCTGTAACTTACTATTCCTGTCTCTCTCCATACACACAGCGACCCCTACTGGCCGGTGCTGGTATTGCAGAGGAATATCTGTTTATCCTGAGAAAAATACCGGCATTTTTATTTTGCGGTATTACTGCAATATCGGCACCAGCCAGGCATCCTCAAATAAATACCGGCCAGGTGGCAAGCCTAAGAGTAGTTGATTTTTTAAATCAATGGGCCTATTCCATGGGCATGGGCCTGGAGCTGCAGTTCCATCAGCCCCTATGTTAATCCGGCCCTGAACAGCACTACATTCTAGTTACCGAGGGCCCTGATGTACAATGAAATACATATATAGTACAGATGCTGTGTTTTAGCTAACCATAGTCTATATCAGGGATAGGCAACCTTCGGCACTCCAGATGTTTTGGACTACATCTCCCATTGGACTCTTACAGCTATAATACTGGCAAAATACCAAGGGAGATGTAATCCAAAACATCTGGGGTGCCGAAGGTTGCCAATCACTGGTCTATATTATACCCAAATACACACATCTGTTCTGCATTCTGATGGTATTTTGGAAATTTGCATTCCCCCAAAAAGTAGCTATATTACATATAAGCAATGTCAATTTTTATTGTTTTGTCACATCTGCTGTATGTGACTCAGTGGCGTACACACAATCCAGTGGGCCCCGGTGCAAAACTGATCCGTGGGCCCCCCTCCCCTTTCTCCCCCGATCCATGCCCCCTCATCCCCCCTGACACATACATACATACAGACACACACACAAACACACAGACAGACACACACACACACATACATCCCTCGACAGACACATACATACAGACACACACACATATATACACACAGACACATACATACAGAGACACAGGCACACACATAGACACAGACACACACACATACAGAGACACAGACACACACAGAGACACACACACATACATACAGAGACACACACATACACATACAAAGACACATACACATACAGAGACACCCCCCCACACATACATACAGAGAAACACACATACATACACACATACACAAAATGTTTCCAACCTTGTTACTTTCCCTGGGGTCCAGTGGTGGCTCAGCCTGATGGGAGTCAGAGTTCCCACTCTGACTCCCTCCTCCTCCTCCCTCCCGCGCGGCTCTCAGTGTTAGCTGAGAGGAGTGACCGGGGAATCACTTCCTCCCAGCAATGATGTAATCACAGCGGGCCCGGTCGCGCTCTTAAAGCGCCCAGCGCAGACCGGGCCCCCTTACAATCCATACCCATCGGGCGGCCCTGACAGCATGGGCCACCCGATGGACCCCTCCATATGCGGCCCCAGCGGTTTGCCGCATGGGCCGGGGCCGCAAAATGTGGCAGCTGACCTGGTCGCAGGGGACCGCACTCCAGGGGGCCCGGTCGCAGCTGCGACCCCTACGACCGCGGTATGTACACCGCTGATGTGACGGATATGTTATTTGACTTTTCTGAATTATTCATCAACTGAAAAAAAGAAGAGAAACATGGCAAAATAAATATGTCTTACTTTGTTATATGCTTAAATGGACTTGATCACAGTGTCTGCATTACAGTATTCTGATTAGTTTCTAAATTTCTATCACCTCCTTAATATTTCTTCTAGGGAGGAATTAATAAATTATCATTTAAAAATAAGTAAATTCACACCTATACTATATAAATATATATATAAAAAATATATAAATAGCAAGGACACTCTTGACAATTCTACTGACACAGTCCATAGGTTTCTATGGCAACTGCCCCACAATTAACATTCTGCTCCAAATTTGATAGCTTATAAAATGATAAATATTGTACAGATCAATTTTTATGCAGTAAATATCACTTTTATGTTTATAATATTGAGAAGCAGGCTCCCGTTTTAAGTGTATATTTAGATTCAGAAAACTTCTTGAAGGTATGAAATTACTTAATTTTCCCTTCCAATGTGCTGAATGTTTCATAATGTGGTGTTAGACATTGATAAAACCCACACTTTTCATCTCAGAGAGTCTTATTCCACAGGCTTTGAAATTCTTTTTTCACATACAATGAATTTCCTCTTTTGGGTATGCGCTGAGGCAATTTATTCAGCAAAATTCATATTTTCAATACATTTTAGTTCCGTGGAGTTTCACACAGGATTCAAACCCTGCTAGCTAGTATGTGGTTGCCAGATATCCATGTTTTCAGATAAAGTGTATTGATTGACACCTCTCTTTTAAAAGTCATTACTTAGTTACATAGTAATATAGGTTGAGAAAAAGACTTAAGTCCATGGACTTCAATCTTTAACCCCTTAAGGACGGAGGCAATTGTACACATTCTGACCAAAACAAAACATAAACAAAACCTGGAATTTGCGCTGTATGTCTGTTCAACCATAATTCACCTCTTTCATAGTAAGTGCATCCACACTTATTATATATACATTTGTTCAGGGGAAACAGGGCTTTCATTTCACATAAAATATTCTTATATGCAACATAATTCATTATAAATAAAATCTAAAAAAAGTGTGAGAAATTGAGAATTTAAAAATAAAAGGTTTTTAGTTCTGCATGACATTTTAACATTGAATGTCATAATACTGTTAGCTTTTACTCGATAAAATACACATATTTTTATTCAGCAATGTCTCATGAATACAATATTACTCCACATGTCCAGGTTTTATGGTGTTTTGGAAAGTTACAGGGTCAAATATAGCATGTTCAATTTTTCAGTCTATACACATTGAAATTTGCCAGAAATATTGCCTTTGAGACCATATGGCAGCCCAGTAATGAGAATTATCCCCGCCATGGCATACCATTTGCAAAAGTAGACAGCCCAAGGTATTTCAAATTAGGTATGTCCAGTCTTTTTTAGTAGCCACTTACGGAGCTACTGATTGGCTTAGAGTGTCAGTTGACCACTCTGGCCAATCAGCAGTGACTGGTGACTGGAGTTTCCTTAAGCACAGAATAAACTTTTAAGTATTTTATTATAAATATTTTGCTTTAAAGGACCACTATAGTGCAACGAAAACAAACTAGTTTTCCTGGCACTATAGTGCCCTGAGGGTGCCCTATCCTCAGGGTCCCACTCCCATGGCGCTGAAGGGGGAGGAAGGGGTTAAACACTTACCTTTTTTCCGGCGCCGGGCTCCCTTGGTGCTGGGACTCTCCTTCCTCTTCTGACGTCCCTGGCTGAATGCGCATGCGCGGCAAGACCCGCGCGCACATTCAGCCAGTCCATGGGAAAGCATTCTCAATGCTTTCCTATGGACCCTGGCGTCTTCTCACTGTGAAAATCACAGAAGTGCGTAAGCGCCTCTAGCGGCTGTCAGTGAGACAGCCACTAGAGGCTGGATTAACCCATATGTAAACATTGCAGTTTCTCTGAACCTGCTGTGTTTGCAGCAAAAAGGGTTAATCCTAGCTGGACCTGGCACCCAGACCACTTCATTAAGCTGAAGTGGTCCGGGTGCCTATAGTGGTCCTTTACGTATATGTATACAAATGCAAATAAAATATGTGTATAAGGAGTTAATTATATAGTTAGCTTGTCAAATAATGAGATTGCTCATTGTTTAAAACTATGCATGTCACTTTCATATAAAGTATCAGGAGGTGTGAAACATGTCAAGTAGTCTTGCTTGTTCATTGCACAAAATGCACTGTATGACAATGGTTTACAAAATACACCTCAAAGGATAACTCCAACCAAAATACATTGGTATAATAAAATGCCATTTTTAGGTCACAGCAACTTTTGGTTAGTTAAAACACAGTTTTTGGTCAGCTTAAACTTACACCTGTTCAAGCACCAAGGCCAAGTTCTCCCAGCAGTTTGATACTTTTCTGGTTATACCTTACCTTATTACTAGAGGGGGAGGACGGGGCTGAGACAAGTACTTGGTGGGGACAGAAGGGGGCCTTCAACCATTTGTCACCAGCATACTGTGCATGCTGATATCAGATGTCTAATATGTACATAGTTAACATTAAAGAAACCTGTATTACTAACACTATAGTGCTCATATCCCTAGTTTGCTAGGTCCCCCTAGTGGTTGGTTCAACAGCAAGAAACAAGGTCAGGGTAAGCCAAGGTCGGGAATACAGAGATACACAGAGTATATGCAAAGCCAGGTCAGGATATCAGAAAATCATGAGTCAAATATAAAGCCGAGTCAGGATACCAGAAATCACAAGTCAAATACGAAGCCGGGTCAGAATATGAGAGATCATAAGTAAAATACAAAGCCGAGGTCGGAATGCCAGAAATCACAAGTCAAATACGAGCCGAGGTCAATAACAGGAATACAACAAGAGAGACTTATATATA